GCGGGGCCTCAGTCCCACGGCCGAGGGACTGGCACGACTCCCTGGAAATCCATGGCCAGCACCTGGCGGCCCCCTGGGGGGTCTCGGTCAGGACCTGGTCCTCGAGGTTTCCGGGCGTGCAGCAGAGAACGTTCTTCGGAGGCTTGACTGCTGCCAAAGGCACGCAAAGCTTCCAGAACCTTCTGTGCCAAGTGACTTGGCACCGCTCTTAATACCTGAGTCAAGTTGGTGCCCCACACTTTAGAAGTTCGTGCCCCACACCCTAGAAAGCGCAAGCAGCAGACTGAGCAAACCCGATCCAGCCGCCTCATATTTGAGCGGCGGGGTAAGCGGCGGCCAGTTCTCACGCACTGGGAGCCACCCTTTGAGACAGACTTTGTCGCAGCAAGTAAAAGGTCACAGTCATAGCGTGAGATGCAGGTGACCTGGGAGGACCTGGGATGTCCCATGTGGGCCTGGGTCTCCTAAGGCTCCTTCTGTGCCTTCCACCCGCCTGCCCGCTGCCCGCTGCCCACTGCCACCGCCCTGCCAGCTGTCCTCCTCAAGGAGTTTCGAAGCCCCATTTGCTGCTACTCAGCAGGGCCCCGGTGATGTGAACATTCTCATGGGCTTTTCAGCAAACAGATACTTGACAGCACAGCAAGCAAGCCTCGGCCCGCACCCCCGCAGCCGGCCGCGCTGAGCGGATGGCCTCGGTGCGGCTTTGAGAGGCACTGGTGTGGCGGAAAACACGCCAGCCGTGTCTGTGCCCAGACTGGTTAACGAGCCAAGGCCAGGCCCCCAGGACCCATCTTGGCGCTGCCAAGGGGAGGCCCTCCCCTTTGTGAGGCCACCTCCCCTGGCAGACGTGTTGGGGAGGCCGTCTCCCTAATCCGATCTAGGGTCTTCCAGCAGCCCGGCTGGTGCCAGCACTGCAGGACCGCCAGGAGCAGACAGGATGTTTCTCCAGGGGCTTCTGTTCCTCCAAGTTCAAGCTCAGACTGGCCTCTGCGGCTCTGGCCTCCAGGAGGGAAGGTCTTCCTCGTGGGGGGGCGGGGGGCAGGAACGGGCAGTGTCCTGCAGAAGCTACAGGCTGCCCACCTGCCCTCATCAGAGACAGGAAGAGAAGGGCCGAGGGGTGGGGCTGGAGCGCAGTGCGTCCGTGGCCCCCACCCCTGGCTGGCTTGGGGAATTTCACCCCAGACCCTCTCCGACCTGGCCACTCCACCCGACCTGGCCACCCCACCAGCTCTGCTGGTCACTGTCCGTGGTGCTGAACCCCAAGGCTGCTGAGGTTGGAGCCTTCTGTCCCCTTTCAGAGTCACCAGTGACTCCGGTCCAGCCTCTCCCAGAATTTCCAAGCCAGCGAGGAGCACGGGGACCACGGCGGAGCAGAGGGGGACCAGGGAAGGGGGAGATGGGCAGAGGCTCCGCCCTGAGAGGTCGTCGAGCTGAGAAGCATCATGATTCCGGGGGCGGCTCACACACAAGCATGGCGGGGTCTTCGGAAACGGTCCCGGCACGAAGCCGGCGATTGCTCTTCAGAAGAGTGTGGAATGGGCCGATGACCGTCGCAGTGAGAATCCCCTGGCCGACCAGAGGGCCACAAGCAGGACCAGGCTGCATCGCAGTCGGGCCCCCTCCCCTGCCAGGCCAGTCGCCCTTGTTTGCAGGCAGCCTGGCCCCGGGCGTCAGGCAGATGTGCTGCTGCCCGTCCGGCGGACCATCTCACCCCGTCTCCCTCACGAAGTGACCGATACTGGGGGACGCACAGCCATAGGAACGTTTGGAGGGCAAGACAGGAATTTCTCCCAGCGCTGAAATAATTCATTTTCTATCACTAAATTTTATAGCAAAATTTGATGGCAACGCCTGAATTTCTTTTTTAAAAAAATTCCAACTGGGTAATATGTATCTAGCAGCCTCGTCACTGATTTGCATGCTTTGACCTTTGCTCCACCTGAATACTTCTGCCGTGCGAGCTCTGCGTTAGGGTACAAGTTTCCAGGAACTAATTCAGGTTCTCTTAAGGGAAGAAAAGGGATACTTATTTTGCTCAAGAAAAGCTAAGTCCGGGAGTTATGGCTGCAGGCATAGCGGGATCCAGGAGCTGAGGGGATGACATGGCACTCCCCCGTCACCTGTGCTGGCTTCGGTCTTAGGCGGACCCTTCCCGCAAGGTAGGAAAATCGTGCCAAGGCCACAAAAGCAGCCCCCACCCAGCAGGTCCTTCCTGAAGGAAAGGCGGGCCTTCGTTGGACGAACATGATTGGCACAGTGACGCGTGGCCTGCGTTGATCCGAGAGGCCCCGCCCAGCCCTTTCCGACTGTGCCGATTGGCCGGGCCTGGGCCAGTTGGTGGAGGGGCGGGAAGCTCAGGGCGGCCGTGGGAAGGGACAGTGGACGCTGGACGGGCAGAGACAGCAGGCCCCGAGGGTCCAGCCTCCTGGCTTTGAGGCGGTCGCCCCCCTTCCCCTCCCCGGCTTGGACGCCATCTCCCCGCATACGAAGACGTCCCGGCCCCCGCTCTCTGTCCTGTCATCTCCTTGTCATTACACGTCTTCCAGGCGTTCCCGGAGCTGCCGAGCTGGCCCCGCGTGTCCGTGTCCCGGCACTGACCCCTCCCTCTGCCTTTCCAGAACTTTCCTGGTTATTCTCAGAGGGCTTTTTTTCCATGTGAATTTTAGAATCAGCTGTCTTTTCCCCAGTCACTCTCACGGTCACTGGACAAAGGCACCGGCCAGGCCCAGCTGGTCCGTGTCCGCGTCTCTGTCCGGGGTGCCGGCTCCCTCCCCTCCCCGTCGAGCCTCTCACCCCCCTGCGGCCACGTCTGCGGTTTCCCAGAGGCTTCGCACACGGCGGATCGGACATATTCCTCGTCGCTGGTTGCCAGGGTGGGGGGCAGGCTGCTCCCCTGTGCCCAGAAGCGGGGGTAGAGTGCGGGGAAGGAGTGCGGGCTGAGCCCCCATCCACGCTGTAAGCCTTGGCAGGAGAAGGCCGGCCCCTAGCTCAGGCATGCCCCCGACCCGGCACCCACTCCGTCCGCTTTGTCTGGGGCTCCAGGCAGGAGGGGCGGGGAAGCCAGGGCAAGGTGCCACCCCCTAGGAAGCCATCGCCGGTGCCAGCTTCATCTCCAGGCTGGGGGCCCAGCGTCCAGCCTCTGCCCCCCACACCCAGGACCTCAGGGTCTACAGCCTGGACTTCCAGCTGCGGGAGCCACTGGGGCCGTACACCGACCCCACAGCCCGTGGGCTGGCCCGGGAAGTAGCTGCTTTTGCTGCCTGCAGTCAGCGAGCTGTGGTATTTTAAATGTTTTGACGTTTAAAATTTGTGTTGGATACATTCATTCTGTTTAAAGTAACCTTGGCTGCGGTGACTCACAGGCAATCAGTTTGTCTTCTGGGCCCAGGTCTGGTGTCTCCCGGCGTCCCCCTGTGCCTCCCTGCACCCCAACCTGGCTGGAAGCCCCAGAAACCTCTGAGCTGCTGCTCGGCCCATGTCAGAACCCCATTGTCCTGCGGAATCACCTCTCCGGCCGTGGAACAACCTCCAGTGGGTCAAGGTCAAGTCCGGGTCCAGCCATCTCTGAGCTGGGGACTCAGCCCGTCAGCCTCTCTGAGACTCCGCTTCCCAGATCCTGAGCAGCCGTGGGAGCGGGAGGCTCTAACGAGAGGCTCTGAGAGGCGCTTGGTGGGGACCCGGCAGGGTCTTCTGCTCGTGTCCAAACTGACCGCAAGCCAGGCGAGAGGCGCAGGGCCTGGTCACCCTGGGTGGGGCAGGGCTGCCACGCGCTCAGGGGCCACATCTGTGGACTCTGTGTCCAGACCCGGGGACGTGGAGCCCGGCCCCTTGCCGCAGCCCAGACCCCTCGGAGCTTGCCCCCACGCTGTCTAGTGGCCGGACCTTGTGCAGAGGGCTCTGAGGGGTCAGGGCCAGGCGGAGGCCCGCCAGGGGCTGGGGCCGGTGTCCGCCCGCCGGCCCTGGGGATGGAGCGCCCCTCACGCGGGGCCTGACGGGCTGCGCTTCTCCGCCTCTGCAGATCAACACCTTCACGTCTTTCCTGTTCCCCATGGTGGCCATCTCCGTCCTCAACACCGTCATCGCTAACAAGCTGACTGTCATGGTCCGCCAGGCGGCCGAGCTGGGCCAGGCGGGCGCAGCCGGGGGCCCGCACAGCGCGTTCAGCATGTCCGTGGAGCCCGGCCGGGTGCAGGCGCTGCGCCATGGAGTCCGGGTGCTACGTACGTAACCGCCGGGCCCTCGGGGTCGGGAGGCAGCAGGGGCCCGCGGGGCAGCGAGCGCTGCACCCCCAAAGCGGCAGAGCGGAGAGATCTGGGCGCTGGGGCGCATCGGGGCCCAGATTCAGTGCTGGCTCCGGCAGGGGTCAGTGCGGCTCTTAGACACGTTCAGTCCCTTATCCATCCACTCGTTCATCCGTCCGCTCACGCGTTCGCTCATTCATTCATTCATCCGTCCATCCCACTCACGCATTCGCTCATTCACTCACCCACTCGATGAGTCTCCTGGGCACCGACTCTGGGTCAGACGGCTTGCAGAGCCAAGGCGGCAGAGGTGGGGTCACCCTTACGTTCCAGTGGGAGCACAGGCTCCGCCAGAGGAACCAGACGTGTACATCACACACATTCAGACAGGGATGAGCAGGTGACTAGCCCTGGCAGCCTGGAGGGGCTCTCTGAGGAGGTGACGTCCAGCTGAGATCAGCAGGACTAGGAACCTGTCTCTGCAACGAAGCCGCAGGCCAGGGGGATGGAGAGGGACACTAGGTGACCAATGCCCCCGGGGCAGGGCGCTCCCAGCGAGGAAGAGGGCTGGAGCCAGGAATGGAATCATGTGTCGTCCTTTGTGACTGGCTTGTGTCACTGAGCATAATGTCCTCAAGGTCCGTTTGTGCTAGAGCACGCATCAGAGTTTCTTTCCTTGTTGAGGCTGAGTAATATTCCGTGCGGATACATCCTATTGTGTTTGTTCTTTTATCCGTCACTGGACACCTGGGCGGCTTCCACTTTGCCCGTCGTGCATCACGCTCCTGCGGTGCCCAGGCGTCCGTTCGAGTCACCGATTCCGATCACGTGGGGCGTTCGCTGCATCACACGACAGTTCTGCTCTCAATGTTTGGAAGGACCGCTAGCTACGCCGTTCCTCAAAGTGGACGCACCATTTTACATTCTCACCAACAGTGGACAAAGTTTCGGTTTCTCCACATTGTCTTCAGAAACTATTATTTTCTGGTCCGTTTGCTTCTTTTGACGGCGGCCGCCCCGATGGGCGTGAGGTGGCACCTTAGGGGTTTGGCCCGCATTTCTCAGACGATCAACGGCGTGGAGCATCTTTCCACGGGCTCATTGGCCGTTCGTGTGTCTCCTCATTCCGCTCCTCTGTCCTTTGATACACGTTTTTTCATTTGAATTGTCTGCATTATCTATTGTTTCTTTCGTCGCCTGAGCCTTTGGTGTCATAGCTAAGAAATCATCGCCAAGTGCGATGCTGTGAAGTTTTCGCCCTGTATTTTTTTCTAAGGGTTTCATACGCGTAGTCCTTACATTTAGTTGTTTGATCCGCTTCGAGTTAGTTTTGTATATGGTGTAAGATAAGGGTTCAATTCCATCCTTCTGCATGTGGACACCCAGTTCCACAGCACCGTCTGTTGAAAAGACTGCCCTTCCCCTTCCCCCCCGAATGGACTGGGCACCTCGCTGGAAACCGCGGGGCCGGCTCTGCGCGGGCTCATCTCCAAGTCCCCTCTCCCAGCCCGTTGATCTATGTGTCTATCTTTCTGCCAGCCCCGTGCCGTTTTCATTTCTTTAGTTTTGTAGTAAGTTTTGAAATTAAGAAGTTGAAGCCTCCAGCTTTGTTCTTTGTTCTCCAGATTGTTTTGGCTGTTTGGGGCCCCCTGAGATTCCACACGAATTTCAGGACGGGTTCTTCTATGTCTGCGAAAATGTCCTCAGAACCCTGATCGGCAGCGCACCGACTTTGGGGGTCACTCTGGGTGCCGCTGTCGACATCTTAGCGGTGTCGAGTCTTCGGCCCGTGAGTGCGGGACACCTGCTTCACCCCCCCTGAGGCCCGTGTCTCTGTCTCAGGCGCCGTGGTCATCGCCTTCGTGGTCTGCTGGCTGCCCTACCACGTGCGGCGGCTCATGTTCTGCTACATTTCAGATGAGCAGTGGACCCCGTGAGTACCGGGGGTGGACGGGGGGCGGGTGCCAGCGGGGAGCGGGTCAGGCATCCCCCAGCGGGTCCCTGGGCGCGGCTGTGACTGGGCTGCAGGAAGGAAGTACAGATGCTGGGGAGCTGCTCGGAGGAGGGACAGGTGGCCGCGGAAAGGGAAGCAGGTCCTAGAAGAGTCCATGCAGAGACCAGATGGGTGAAGGGCTGGCTCTGCTGGACGTGGGAGGACAGGTGGCAGCTGGAGGGTCCCCTCGACCACCCGTGGCTGGAGGACTGGCCGGGAGGACGCCCGAGACGCAGGGAGAGCCACACTCACGCTGTGACACGTCACGGTGAGAGGACACACTGCCAACTCCGCGAAGGGAGAAGCGCGTGGAGGAGCCTGGGAGACTGGGCACGAGCTTCCGGAACCACGCCTGGCGAACTCCCCCAGAACGCTGCACCCCAGGAAGCTCCCAGGCTTTTTCCTGGGGGGTGGTCATATGGGCACCCTGCCTGGCAGACACCCAGTTCCAGACTCCCAGGGGGAAGCAGGTGTCTGCAAGCAGCTAAGGCCCAGGGAGGCCCTCCTACCAGGAGTTGTGGGGACCCCCTGAATCCATGTCCCCAGAGGCAGGCGAGGCTGCCTCAGGCCCACCGTGTGAGCTCTCCTGCACGTGACCCAACACCGGTCCAAGGTCACGGGTCCCCCAGATTGATGAGGAACAGTAGAGGACAAACCTAGGACAAATGCGAAGTTATAGGGAGCAGAGCGCAGCCCCTGTAAAGGGTTTCTGAAACTCAGGGGTGCCCGCTGAAGGGGGGAGCGCCTGGGAGGGAGGGAGACCCTGTGGGTCGGGGCAAACTAGCCGAGGGCGGGTGCACAGCTGTCCGGGACACTTGCTGGGGGTGCCTGCCCTGGGGCTGGAGTTCTGCAGAGGGAGGTGGGGTCGGGCAAAGCGGAGCGGCCACGCCCGGCCTGGGGAAGGCCGGCGCCTGGGACTCAGCCCGGCTGTCCGGTGCCAGAACTTGCAGGCAGAGCCCGGAAAGTCATTACGACACGTCCCCGGTGGCTTGTGAGTCGCCGCCTGTGGCAGCCGTGGGCCCCGGGCGGCGCCGAGCCGGTCTGAGCGCCCCTCCCGCCCCAGGGTCCTCTACGACTGCTACCACTACTTCTACATGCTGACCAACACGCTGTTCTACCTGAGCTCCGCCATCAACCCCGTCCTCTACAACCTCGTCTCCGCCAGCTTCCGCCAGGTCTTCCTGTCCACCCTGGCCTGCCTCTGTCCGCGGTGGGGGCGCGGGAGGAAGAGGCCGGCCTTCTCGAGGAAGGCCAACAGCGTGTCCAGCAACCACACCTTCTCCAGCAACGTCACCAGGGAGACCCTGTATTAGGGCTGAGGAGGGCAGGGGTGGGGGCAGGGAGGGGTCTGGGAGGAGTCTGGGTAGAGGCTGGAAGGAAGGAGGCTGGGAGGGGCAGGGGGAAGGTGGAGAGAGGGCAGGGAGGAGGCAGGTGGAGGCTGGGAGGGGGCAGGGAAGATGCAGGGAGGGGCAGGGAGGAGGCTGGAAGGAGGCTGGGGAGGGCAGGGAGGAGGCTGGGAGGGGGCAGAGGGGAGGCTGGGAGGGCCCAGGGAGGAAGCAGGGAGGAGGCTGGCCTGCGCTTGGTCTCCACTCCGCCCCTCTCCTGGGAGCTGGAATGGGGGTCAGCTATAGGCCTGCGCTGTGGCACCTGAGGCCTGGGGCCAGCTCCGTCTCCCCCTCCTCTCCTCTTTGAAAGGGGCTTCGCGCCCTCCTAGACCCAGGGGCCTTTAAGGAGGAGAAGTTAGTGCTGGCGATGAAAGGTTTGGGTTGGGCTGCACCCTTTGGGGGTGGGGGGTGGGGCAGGGACCCCAAGATGCGGCTGGGAGGAGCCAGGCTGTCCTGGAGTCCCAAGTGAAGGAGAGGGCCTGTGTCCCTCCTGCCTCTGGTCTGGCTCAGGGCCAAGGCCACCCCAGGCGAGGGACCCCCGACCTAAGGGTGATGCTGCAAAGCGAGGACATGCCCGAACAGCGACCGTCAGCCTGGCGTCGCGGGGCCTGGCCTCATCCGCTGCTGCCAGGGCCACCGTGCGGGGCTGGCCCCGCAGTCCCGCACCCTGGCCTCCCCCCACAACCCAGGTGGCCCAGGCCAGGACAGGGAGGTGCGGGTCCCCCTGTGCAGGTGTGCTCTGGCCGCCTGACGCCCCCACGGCAGAGAGGAGCTGGCAGCCCCGGCAGCAGGTGAGGAGCAAGAGGCGCGGGGCCAGGCAGCCCGCTGGCCGGCAGCCAGGCCAGGCCCAGCCTCGTCTGTCACCAGCCGCCAGACAGCAGCCCCAGCCCCGGGCTCCCGGCGCCTCCCTGGTCTGTAGGAGCTGGTTTCCAAACAGGACAGGACAGCCTGGCCCGGAGAAGGTCCCCGGAGCCAGGGGGCGGCGGGTGAGGAAGCCGCCTGGGCCAGCGGGCAGCAAGGGGCAGAAAGCCCGAAAGCCGGAGGCGGCCCCTTAACAGCAGCGTCTCCCTGGGCCCGGGAGACGGCCAGCCAGGCAGGCAGCCTGCACGGGCAGCGTGGATCAGGACTCAGGTGGCCTCACTCTAGCCCGCGGTCCCCGGACCCAGTTTCCCCCGCCAGACCTGGCCACTCTGCTGTGCACTGGTGTGTCCCTCAAACCCCAGAAAATCCTTCTTCAAGCCACAGGACCCTCAGTCCACCGAGAACTGGGGCGCAGAAGTCAGGTCCGCAAGCTGGTCCTCAGCCAGGCTGGAGGTGGCTGTCCCGGAGGACCCAGCCCACAACGGGCAGGGACAGTTCCCCGAGGGGCAGAGCGGGCTCGGGATGGAGACACCCCCGCCCCCAAGCCTGATGGACGTGCCAGGATGCGTCTGTAGCTGCAGCCCCAAGTCCAATTTACTGTTGCCATCTGTGCGCTCATGTAGGTAGGGATGCGTGTCCATGAGCCATGTCCACCTCTCCTGTGTCACCCCAGCTCAGTATCATCAGCTTCTGGCCTGGTCACATCGCCACTCCAGAAGCCAGCTCTGCGTGCCGGGCACAGGTCTGGTCTTAGAATCCAGCGTCTCGTGTGACTGGTCCCTGCGTATGGCAAAAATTCATCGCGTCATTGTACATCTGCTTAAACTCCCTCCACCCATCTCAATGTGCAGCCATCGACAAGAACAAACCTCCTGAATCTGTCAATAAAGGAGACTGTGGAACCTGCGACTGGACTCAGGTTGAAGGACCAATGAGCTTGTGCACATGCACTCATTTAGTACCCATCCGCCATTCCTTCATCCATCCATTCACTCACCCATCCACTCACCCATCCACTATCCCCTCACCCATCCACCATCCATCCATCCATCCATCCACC